CTTCAGGCTATTGATAAGTTCCTAAATGTTTGACTTCTAAGTTTCTTTGTTCGTCAATTCTGCTCTCTGAGTGTTTGCTGAAAGAAAAACTAGAATGAACCAAAAAGAACAAAACTAGCTGCCAAAAAGAATAAAGCACCTCCTTTTATTATCTGGCTTTGGCTACAAAGAAAGAAATCATGCAATTTTTGTTAACATTTTACTCCATACTGAAACAGGAAAATGTGGAGTGACCCCAGAGCGATTATTCTTTATGATATAAATAAATTGAACTGATGCTGACACGCCACTCTTTATCTCAACTTTTTGACGAAATACACTACGGACTACCCTAAGAACTAGGGTAGTCCGTGGGGTAGTCCGTAGGGTAGTCCGTGGGGTAGTCCGTAGGGTAGTCCGTGGGGTAGTCCGTAGGGTAGTCCGTGGGGTAGTCCGTAGGGTAGTCCTTAGGGAAGTCCGTAGGGTAGTCTGTGGGGCAGTCTGTAGGGTAGTCCGTAGGGTTGTCCGTAGGGTTGTCCGTAGGGTTGTCCGTAGGGTTGTCCGTGGGGTTCTCCGTAGGGTTGTCCGTAGGGTTGTCCGTAGGGTTGTCCGTAGGATAGTCCGTAGGGTAGTCAGTAGGGTAGTCCGTAGGGTTGGCCGTAGGGTAGTCCATAGGGTAGTCCGTAGGGTTGTCCATAGGGTAGTCAGTAGAGTAGTCAGTAGGGTAGTCCGTAGGGTTGTCCGTAGGGTAATCCGTAGGGTAGTCAGTAGGGTAGTCAGTAGGGTTGTCCGTAGGGTAGTCAGGAGGGTAGTCCGTAGGGTAGTCCGTAGGGTTGGCCGTAGGGTAGTCTATAGGGTAGTCCGTACGGGTAGTCCGCGTATTAGTCCGCGAAGCGGGGGTCAGTGTTTTCAACTATAGATCTCCACTGTTGTTTAGCATATGTGAAACAGGAAAAAATGGCTCCGGCTAGGAAACCACTTGTAATGACATGTTAGGTGGTTTTTATTACGTCAGTAAAACTAAATATACATCTTTGAAACAGAAAAAAATGGCTCTGGCTATGGAACCACTTGTAATGACATATTTTTAAAAGTGGTTTTTATTACGTCAGTAACACTAAACATAGATCTTTGAAACAGGAAAAATGGCTCCAGCTAAGAAACCACTAAATATACATCTTTTGAACATGAAAAGATGTTGCGACCTATTATTATATGTGGATTATTTACCATGCGTGAAGTCAATGGACATTGGTCAAGATTTGTTATGGCGTGTTTATGGACTCCAACTGCTTGTCAGCCCACACAACCGCAAAAAAAAAACACGAAGGCCAATATCCAGCCATCTCGCACAAACAAGCTTGATTAAATTAATCAAATTTATTGATTCCTTTTACCAGTAGTATCATGTACGATGTTTTAATCCACCATGAAAACGATGCTGTTATGTAATTCATCCCTCAACTTTTCAACTTCACTGAGGTTAACACGATTCGTTTTGAGTGCTTCCAACAGAATGCAAAATAAAACGTCGATCAAAATCAAGCAGCGTTAAAAGCAACGAGCATCTTAAGCTTATACTAACGTTAATGTTCTTAGAGGCAAAGGCAAGTTACAGTAACCGCACGTTAATACTACATCTTACAGAAAGCGTTCTTTTAAATTCTACGCGTTTAAATTGTGGAACATAACAAATAATGACTTAAGAACTACCGCCTAAATCTACCTTAGCAATAATGTCGACTTGACAAATTCTATTGACTTTGTTATTTACGGCTTATTAAGCAGTTTTCATTCTTATGTTTGCCTAATTGTATCTAGATTAGACACTGGTATTATTTTTCTTATATTCTATCTTTTTTTTTCTCGGCGATGGAAGCATAGACGTGCTACAGAACTCTTCAATCCGAGCTTAACTAAAATTTACTACAACTGCTACTTAATACTTTGATTTCTCTTCCTTGCCATACTTTCGCTAGCATGAAAGAAGTTCAGGTTTCTTATGTTCCTGACTTAAACAAAACGACAAAACCTGAATTACTTAGACTTAATAATGAGTATTATAAACTTGTTTCACTCTATACTATGTCATCTGTTTTGCTGTCTTTATAGACATTTCATTACATATCATAGTGATATTCTATCAAGTTCTGATAAGTATCACACGGCTCATAGTATCAACTTTGACTCAACCTTGACTTCCCTTCCTTCTCTTAACAGGCTTTCACTAGAATAACAGAGATCCTTGTTGATTATGTCGCTGACAGAAACAGGAAAAAGTTAAATAAAAGCAGTCATCGATACCATTTGTTAGCTTTTGTTTTGACAAATAAATTGAATGCTGAATGATGCCATTTTATAAAACCACAGAATAATGAATCCAGGAATGAATTAAGATTCACCGAGACTTAAAATGGGTATTACATTTAATATATAGGCTGTGTTATCTGTTTTAGGATCTTTACAGACACTTTAGCCACTGATCTATATGCAAATGTAACATTGTGGCATTCTGTCTAGTTCTGATAAGAATCAAAGGGGGCAATGGGGGTTACCTTCAAAAAAGAAAATCACTGAGCTGTTTCATTTGAAAAGTTCTTTAAAATTAAATCTAAAATTAAATTATTAAAGCTATGTTGTAGATTCGCGTCACCCAATCTTGCAATTCAACACGTTCAATTCCCAGTGTCTTGCGTTTAAGATGGTTATAGCTACTGACACCATTTTCGTGCGGAAGGAAAATAACCAAACAAAATCTTCTGTCAACAGTGCGTCAACACAAACGTGTAGCAAATAAAAATTGAGCTGTGACAAGAAATCGTTCTACAGTGAGAAGTATTGCCGGTATACACAAAGGGACTACAGATATCTCTGGGATAGAGGAAAAACTTGGTATACTATTTGTGTGTCCGGTTATAAACTAAAAACATTCAGATTATGCCCAGACTTATATGGTATTCTGTAAACGCCTCTGTTTTATTCTTTTAGGACGCAAACTACTCAAACGATCGTTTGTAAACACAAAACTTTGTCAATTTGTCGGTACTGACAAAGCAAATGCTCTATATTTAAACAGGAAAAAACCAAGAAACCAGAGAAAACTGTCAAGAATACGTAACTGCCAAGAAGCTTTACATAAAAACGCCTCGAGTCTAGCTAAACGTTCCAGCTTCTAACTTTTCTCATGTTTGGTCGATACATTTTCAGTGCTTTCAGATGAAAAACAAAAATTACGGCAAAAAATGCGAAACATTTCTTTTACCACCCTCCCACAATAATGGGAACAATTAGACGCTTTGTTTGCCATTTTTGAAACAGGAAAAATTGGTAACCCCAAGGCCATTTGCTATGATCATACTTAATTGAGGGAAATGGTTAGGAAACTTGGCAAAGTTCTTTGTTGTATGTTTTTGTTGACTATTTTGGTGGTTAACTCTGCACAAAACCTTGCAAAATGCAAAAGTTGGTTACGCGTGCTCATACAACTAACCGGTAAGAGTATTGCGATTATGTAACTCATGCATAGTCAGCGAACATAAAACAAAAGATGTGCAGGGTCAAGGGCCTTCCAAAATAAATCTTAGTCTGTTATTTTACTTCTTTGATATTGACCTGCCTTCCTAACCATTTCTCTCAATTAACCATGTTATGATCAATCAACTGATTTCTGTTACAAAAGTGTTTGACTGAATACTAAAGTGATAGTGTCGCGTAAGACATTTCTCATCTTTTCGACTTCAAAATCGACTCGTTACTCGATTAGTTTTGAGTACTTGCATCCTCGGAGACCCAGGGGCAGCAAGTCGGAAGGACGCGATATTTTTGGGCGGAGCGGGAGAGCCCCTGGGCACTTACTCTTACCGAACCAGTTCCGGAAGCGTTTGAATTCCTTCCTGCCGATTGGCCAGAAAAATATAGAACGCCGCTGTGTGAGTTGAGTGCAGGTGCAAAGTCGAATGAATCGACCATCGCCCTCTACTAACATAACCCTACGTTAGATCTCATATCGTTTAGCGGATTCTCCCTACCCGAAAAACCACTTTGAGCCTCTGCGGAGGAGAGAGAACAAAGACAACCACAACAACGACAACAGCAACAAAGTACAAGTAAACGACACCAACGTATACGTAGACAAATATTCCAGTAAAAGCTCTCCAGAGTGGACCAGTTCTTGAACAAAAAGCTGTATATATCCGAAATGAACGTTTCTTTACGTTTACAGACTATTGTTATTTTAAAGGAACAGTTTTGCTCTGATTGAGTCTAACTGAGTATTGAGTACTTGCTTAAGATTTCTGATATATAAAATTTAATATATCAGGCAGTCAAGTTTACTCCTACATTTCTTTAAGATGGCAAAATGATCTTGATGTGGTTTCCGATTCCGGCTGAGCTCTGATGTTCGGCAACACGTTGAAATAGGTGCTGGCGAGTTGCCACCTTATGTGCATAATCGTAGATTATGATGCACAAACTAAGCAACTAAAACTTTTATAATGCAAAAACTAAGCTACACATTTACTTGACAATGACATCCGACGATGTCGAGAAGTCGTGTATTTTTTTCGCTAATATTTCTGTTGAAAATATTCCCTCAAGCCTTACTTATTCGTTTACAGACGAAACGGATATATAGGCGTGAATAATAACTTAGTAAGCAGACAATCGCCTTCGTTGACTATTCTCATTTATATACTAAGTCAAAGCATTAGTTCGTACCTATGATCTATTGGAGGATAGACGTATGGATGACGTCATTAAGATTTTTTGTTTCTTTATTATGTAAAACAAGTAGATTTCATGTTGCGTCTTTCTTGATCAGTTACATATCTTAGAAATTCCTTACACACTGTAAGACTGAGTTAACAATTTTTCTTTTTTTTTTATTTTGCACTACCCCGTGTTAAAGTTTGCACTGCTAATAAAACGTCTGCACTTAAACCCTACTCGTTGTTTATTAAAACTCAACAAGTTCCTCGGATAATTTTCAACTTAAGTTTGCTTCTATCGCACCATCACCCAGATTGGTTTGTTCAGATAGCAGTAGCCCGCGATACACTTGGTGCCACGCGCTTTGCTGTCGTCGGAGAAGATGTAATTGTTGTTGTAGACATCCGCATCATTCCACATGTCAAGCCACTTGTCAGAACCGCCATTGTGGACTTCAGAAATCCCACGGTCTGAATAGAAGAACAGTGTTGATATTGCGTCAAAACCTACAGCGGGACTTTTCTTATTGTGATCTGCTGGGCTGTACTTGTAAAACCCGTACACGCTCGTTCTCAATTTAGCAGACTTCCCCATTAAGAACTCTTCGAACTCTGTTTTTCCTTTTTGTGGCGCGCCCGCCTTCCTGTTGTAAATAGTCCGGATGTTGCTGTCGTTACTAAACCGGAACATAACTTCTTTCCAGTTCTCCATGTCAGGGTGGATATGACTCGCGGCATCTGTGTACTTACTTTTTGCGGCCAGTGTCGAAAATCCAGCTTTGATGAAGAGGAAGCTTGGGGAGAACTTTGTGGCGACTAGAGTCCAGCCTCCACCCTCAGTTTCCATGTCGCAAAAAGCTTGGAACGAGTCTTCTGATGGGCCTCCGTTTGGGTCGATCCAGTAGAGTCCGTTACCACTCAGGAAAATTAAGGCATGGGTCAGCAATTATTTTCCTCAAAACAGTTAGGGGGTGGTCTACGTTCTGAGGCTTGGTTCATAACAACANCAAAGTTTCATGCTGCTACAACTAAAGCTTCAAAAGATACACTACCCCCTAACTTTCCGGGTGAATAACTGGAGGCCCTTGCCTTAATTTACTTGAGCATGACTATGACCTAAAGGAAAAGCGAAAAAAAACCTGTTGAAGAAATAATGTTGCTGTTCCATTCTTTGAAGAATCAGTTCATTTTTAAAAAGGAAACAACATTTTTCATTTTACAAAACATGTTTCGACAATCCTAAGGAAAATAAAATGGGACAGAAATTCCCGGTAATAGTTTTTTGAAAATTTGGGAAATGTTGTAAGCAATGTTGTCCTCTTTATTGCAAATTTCGTAAAAAATGTTGTTTTATTCGCCACTGGAAATTTCAGGAAATTCAAGACCGGAATTATCGGTCAAAGGAATAGCGCCCCGTTATTCTTATTCGATGCTGTTGGTTTCGGAAGTCACCTGAATTTAAAATATCCAAACAATGACGACCAGATTTATTAGGCGGTTGACCTTTCCCAGCAGTCATCAATGGCAACCAAGCGCTTCCATCACATAGTTGCAAAGAATTATGGGAATCACTGAAACGAACTGTGCCAGCGGTAAGCAGTGTACAATTGTCAGCAGTGTCACCAAACTTGATTGCACCTTGGGACCGTTTTGTTGCTAATTCAGGTTCGCCTTTCTGTCCCTGAAAAGTTGAAAGTTCATTTCGTGTAAATTAGTTGTGGGTAGATGAATGCTACGAAGAGTAATTTTAGTGCTAAAGCCTGCTGATGCAAACGTTACAAAGTAGGAGTCATATATGAGTTAGTAGGGCAACTCTTCAGAAAATTCTGTCGCAGAGAATTTCCTGATTATTTGAGTCACGCAAACTTGGATTTCATCGAGAGAGTACCTTTTTGCTAAGTAATCCCTCCCAATTTATTTTTAATATAGATCACTCCGGCCAGGTTTCTTAAATCCTAGGAGAGCGTGGAAAAAACCAATCTTGTTAAGACGCGGATTTTGCTCACGTGGACAAAACAAGCAGTTTCTCAATTGAAAAATTTCACATTCACGCAGCGTGCGCGATGACATCCTCCAAAGAAATGGATACCCTGCCTAAAAATAACTTGAGAAGCCTCACCCCGCGGGAATGATACCCATATGTGTGGGATTATCTCTGTTACCCTGCATTCTCTCTTGATTTTAGATACTGATGGCAAATAAACCTTGTCACAACTTTTGTAAGCATTTGCCATAATCTTCTGTAGAGCATCAAGGAACAGGATGAAGCAAAAGACTATGATCCCGGATCGTCTCTTGAATGAAGGGAAGAAAAATTTTCTACCATTTAATCGATTATTACTCTAACAAGAGCTTTTGAAATCCTGAAAGAATTGAATTACGTTCGAACCTCCCGTAAGTGCTTAAGGAAAATGGTCCCTTACTAGAGTTTACACCATATTGGGTCCAAATCTGGCTCATTTTAGCATATGTTAATTGTAGAGACTTGCCTCATCACATTGTGTCAGTGCCCATCTAAACCCATATAATAGCTTTTAGTAGCCACAAAAGTATCAGTAAGCTTTCCAAAACTTCAGAATATCGTGGCTCGCTTCTGATAAACTACCACAACTTATTATCCAATGAGAGGTGGTCGCTTACAAGAGGTTCCAAATGTAGTGATTTGACTTGGAAACTTTTGGTATTTGGAAAACTGGTCGCTGAGGAGAGAGGGTCGCTTTCGTGAGGTGGTCGCAACCTCTAGGAATTATTTAATAATTAAAAATCATAACGGAAGATTTACCAACCTTTGTACCGTTTATCCCGTCATTTCCTCGAAAGCCTTTTTCGCCCTTGGCACCCTCCTCATAAAAATATTATTATTATTTCTAATTATTTGCGAGACATTTGACTCGTAAAGTTATATAAGTTCTTAACACTCTGATAAAGAAAAAGCTTTTTGTATGCATAAGATATCATTGAGGATCCCAGTTATCTAATTCAATAACTAAACAAGCCATGATCATTTATTATGCAACGGGAATTAGAGAAAATGAGACAAATTTAGAAACCGACCAGCCCCAGTCGAACTTTTCCTGAGTGTTCTCCACGGGAGCGTTTTATGAGGGGTGGGGGTGGGGGTCTGGAATTGCATTCTCAGCTATCAGGAGATTTTGCAAATCTCTTATCTCAGCTGTCAATTAAAACGCAGCGTTTCGCAGCTGCCAGTTATTTGCTATATTGGTTTAACGCGCTCAAAGCCGACAATAAAGCCCGCTTTTGTCTGTATTGCTTAAGTAAACATTTTTTTTTTTTCAGCCAACCACTGACAGAGCACACACAGATTTCAAACTGGGTTAAAAAAATTACATAAAGACAACTTTCAATGTGCACCTCAACCAACTAAAATAAATAGCTATTTACATTCACCTAGCCATAAAACCCATACAGTATTGCATTAACATTAACTTAACGAAATATTAAAATGATTTATTACATGACTTGTGTTTGTAGCCGATATAACGCGCGCTCTTATTGGGTAATACTAGGATATTATATTATCGTAATACAATGCACGGTCCAATTACGAGCCTGCAAAACCAAGTAAAAAGCCATATAATATACTACTTGTTAACCTCGAACGTTCAGTCTTTACGGGAAAATCTCAAACCTCGGCCTTGCCGTATTGACCTCGCCATCGTTCGGTCAGTTCGACAAGGTCTCGGTTTGAGATTTTCCCGTTAAGACCTCACATTCGGTCAATAAGTAGTTATTAATAAAGAATGGAAATAACACTTTAATTAAGTTAAATGATTCTGAAAAGATATTACCAACCTTTGCACCGTTTTCACGAAAAAATCCTTGTTCGCCCTTCTGCCCCTAGAACAAGGGGAAAAACACTTGAAACTTGCTTTCCATTTACCATCTACATATCTTTTGAAGAAAGTGCGATCTGCTACAATAGGGAGCTGAAGCAACGACAACGGCGACGCTGAAGACAAGTTTTCGCAAAAAGTGAATTTGCAGAATTTTGCTCCGTGATCGTGCAGATATTTAGAATAACTCTCTTATTTCCAACGTTCTCTTTGCCTTTCCCTCTATTATCTGCTTATGAACAGAAAATTCTTACAGCAAAAAGGATGATTTGATTAATCAAGGCAAGATCTATTTTATTTTACAACATCTCTTGTTACATGTACCTTTTCTCCGTTTTTCCCGTCGCGTCCGTCGCGACCATCTTTTCCTATAAGGATTAACAAAAATAGAAACAGGATTTCAGTTTTTCAGCATTTTATGGAGAAACCTGCAACGAATTCTTATGAAGACTAGTATATTTTTCATATTCCTTCCAAACTGCAATGACCACTTTGTAACACACATGTACAATAAAAGAACGAATGAAAAGACAAATGCCTGCCAATGGAAAATTGTCTTGCCCAGAATTAGAATAAGTTTCTTGAACGCTGACTATAAATTATACTATTTTAGAAAACAGCCTTAAGAAAACACGCGCGCTGATTGGTTAAAAATCGTGTTTCTGGTTACCAATGAGATTATGAGCTCGAGATTCTATGAGGTGTTATAGTTCACCACTAAATTTTCTCCGATTCCTATTGGTTTAAATTGATCACGTGACGCGATAGTGGTCCGGCATCCGCAGAGAGACACTATCAGCCCATAGTGCCCTTCCGAGGAAAATACCCGGATGTATAGTACTCGTCCGTTAAAATATTTCTGTAAACAAGCGGGCTTATAGAAAATAAACAATTGAATTTGTATTAATAGGGTTTTTGTTTTCTTTTTCAAATTTTACATTTGGCTTTCACGGCTTTCATCTAAAAAGTTGAAAACAATTCAATATGACTTTTGAACTGGCGCACGGAAGAAAATTTAGTGGTGAACAATAAAGACAATAGAGTGTTTATGTCTCTGAACTTTCGGTCTGATAGTTGCCCCTTGGAAATTTGATGTTCTTAAAACTAGCATATTTGCCCTCGAAGCTTCTCTTCTCGGGCAAATATTTGTTTTAAGAACATCAAATTTCCGCGGGGCAACTATCAGCCGATAGTTCCTCGGTTAATAAGTAGTTATTAACATTGTAATACTTATTTCTGATACCGTTTTGACCATCCCGGCCGTCTCTACCTAAAGAAAGAAGCAGAGAACGTACGTTGATTAATGAAAAACTTAAGGGACATCATGTGAAAAGCGTGAAATATAAAGTGAGTAACACTGGGGCATAAAAACATTATTTGTCGTTCTCACCGTCTCGACAACAGCAGCATTCTTTTGAAAACCACTGTCCACACTGGTTTTGCTGTGTCCCATTTGAAGAAACCTGCAAAACGTACCTCGGTCATATGAGTATCGAGAATGTCATAGCTCGAAAGGTTTTGTGACCAGGTGGGTAGAAATAATTAATTCCCAACTTTTTGCAGGTTTAATAAAGATCAAATCACACACAGATTGAATATTGAACAGTCAACCTAAACTTGCCTTGCTAGCTGATTTGGTCGGAGTACTTGCAAAAGTTGAACGCAAGATGAGAACGAAAAAGAACAGCAAAGGCAAACGAACCATTTTAACTTGTTCGCCCAGAGTTGCCGCGCCGAAAGCTCTAACAAAAGGCATCAACCTTTACTTGCATCTCATTTATGTTTCAGTACATCTCATGTTGGAAAAATTTCATTATTTAATTAGGGTTACAAGCATTGTTTCAGTATATAGGGACTTTAACCTGCGTTTCAGTATGTAAAGCTATAAGACTGAACTCTTTCAGTATTTAAAACTATAAGAAGTATTTCCGTATTTGGAACTAATGGTTTCATCATTATTTAGGGAAGCCATACATAATTAGCGTGTTCCAGTAAAACAGCCCGCCATGGCGGTTATTTTGGGAGACTGATTTACAAATAAACTGATTTGCAAATTACTGTAGTGGAAACTGGCCCTAAACAAGACATTGAAACACCTAAAATAACAGCAAGCGCATACATGTTCTTGTATGACCATAATACAAAGAGAATTGTAAGTAAGGATTATAAATTCAAGATTAAGATAAAAATGAAAGTAGGGAAATAAAGGGGTAAAATGCACAAATTATATGACGACAGGCATTCGATCGACAGTCCTCTAGTAATTTTTATGGTTGATTACACGGTTGTTTTTACACGTAACAGATGATGCCAAGACATTATCAAGGTAAGAAAGTGAATCCCCCATATAGGTCCTCTAACTAAGCATCCTTCGGGGAGAATGAAAAAGTCATTTGGTGACAGATCCTTCAGTGTGGCTGCGCCCACTCTGTGGAACGCTCTTCCTGTTAGCCTCCGCATGATCAAATGTATTTCCACTTCTAAGTCAAATCTCAAAACTTATCTTTTTAAATTAGCTTTTAATATTTCTTAAATATGTATATATAAATAAATGATGTAGTGTTTTTTATTATTTTTAAATTTTATTGTAGAT